GGTGTGTGGGGGGGGGGGGGCCTGTCCTGTGCCCCCAGGGAGCCATCTTGCTGCCCCCTAAGAATTTAGTGTTCCTCACATGCCCTGGAGCAGGAGGACACCTTGCTCTCCTCTTGCTAAAGGTGAAGCTCCAACTTGCCCCTCGGCAGTCTCTGTACGAGCGAAGCGAGGGGCAGATGTGGGTGATTTTTACGTGGCTCGAAGGGGGTGCAGCAGCTGCATCCCCACCCCAGGCAGGGGCTACGATGCCACCTCCCTGTCACCCCAATCAGCAGCTGACCTGACCCTCCAAAGCAAAGCCCCCACTCCCAGATTCATAATCAGATAAAATGCCCATTGTGGGACATTCATCAAACCAAGTGAAAGTTCAGGAGCCCTGAGGGAACTCGGGGGAGACAAAAGCTGGCTCTTTCCTTTCAGTAACATTTGCTAAAAGACCTATGATTTGGTTAGTGCTCTGATTTAATGGGGGTTTTGTCTCCTTTCCTCCATCTCCCCCTCCCCAACTAATGGCTCTGAGTAGGAAAAGTAATTCCTACTGATGGTCCAGTGGAAACGAAATGCTTCCTGACACCTCTTAGGTGGGCTCCAGCATCGCTAATTGATGTGACAGGGTGGGAGATGGGGCTACATATGCTGTGGGAAAAAAAAATCAGCTAAGTTACACCCTGGCAAACAGGAGAGGGGACATGTTGTTGCTTTAAAAAGGAGCTTTTTGCTGAACAAACTGTTAGAGCACAGGGATCGGATTGAAGTTGTCGTCGCTGCTAGTCAATAGTTCTCATTGTTTCATATGCATTTGCTTTATTGGGTTTGTTTGTATACACTGATAACAGCAACTGTTAGCAGAGCGTAGCTAAATAATAGCTATAACCACTGTTGTATATTGCTTAATTGATTGGGATCAGGAAATAGCAGGTACCGCGTACGCCAGCGTGACAAGGTAAGGTTCCCTGTCCGCGGGGTCGGGGATGCGGACGGGCGATGGCACCCGGTGCTCCCCGGCTGTCCCTGCCGAAGGGACAAGCTGCTGCCACTTAGCAAAAGGACAAAGCGTTGGCCATTAAGCATCAAGGAAAATTAAAGCAGTTTACAGTCTGAAGTTACTGAAATATGGCAAAGTTTGACCTCAAAACACAAGACTGAGGTAGAACACGACATAGGCGAGGTCTGTTAATGGCAGGCACCTAGGTACGATTAACAGCTCTAAATGCCCACTTTGATATGAAGGTACCTGCTGTACAGCTATGCAAAGATGAGTTTGGAATCAAAAAAAAAAAGCAGATTAAGAAAATTAAACCCATTAATGCATTCAGGGGTTGTTTTCTGCTTGCCAGACTCATTCACCTGAGAAGTTTAAATAAAATACATCTCTCTGATGTTCTGCGCCAAGGGCTCCAACCCACACAAGGCAGGACGATGTTAGATGTTAGAATTACGCTAGAAAACTGAAGGCGGCATTCAGTGTGTCAAAACTGGTCCTTGCAGGGATTAGACAGAAGCACCTGCTTAAGCACTTTGCTTAATCGACACCACCGGCATCCTTCCCGCAGAGCCGGTGTGTGTTTAACCGGTAATCTCCGTCTCCAAGGGGACGTCCCTGCTCTGGCTGCCCCGTGCAAGCGGCTCTGATGTACACGAGGGTGATGGGTTGCACCTAATGCATTTATTTCCTCTCTCTCGAGTCTCTTGTGATTGTGTGCAAGTGGTCCCGAGTCTCTTGTTGGTGTGTTGTGGTTGTTTTATATATTCCTCTGTTTTTCTCTTCCTTTCTCTTCTATGCTCTCCTCGTACTCCCCTCTCTATCCTTGGCGCTGCCCTCTGAAGCCACGCCAACCCCAGGTACCGTACCAGCCGGAGGAGGTAACAGGCATGGGGCAAGGCTCACTCCACCCTCGCTCGCGTGTGCTGGCAATTAAGCATGCACTCCATTAACCCTTTCAATGGGAAGGTGAAGTGTCAGGAGTCTAAATTGGGCATATGGAATGACAGCGCATAAAAACGAAGCCCCCCTGCCCGAGGCAGAAGGGACAAGGGCAGGCTCCGCAGTGGGGTCTGCAAAGATCAAAATATCTGAGCGGGGCTTAAGAGCCTCCCGGACACCTAATGATAGCCAGACCCACCAAACGCTGCAGCTGCCACAGACTGCACAAGCAAACACGAGAGTCAAGTCGCCCTATTAAAGAGGTTTTTGTTAATCTCAGGTCTGCACGAGCCCTCTCCCTTTTTAAGCCTCAGCATCCCTCCCCTGCACAATACAGCGTATTTACCAGCCGGCCCCCACTCAGGGGTGCCCATCCTGCATCTGGGCTCTGCCCGGCGGCATTTCAGCTGTGTTTTTACACCCACACGCAGGTCTGTGTTGCAGCCTGTGGACACCACAAGCCACACGTACCTCCCCACGGCTCTTCTGGGGCTCCCAGGGCTTTCGAACAGGAGAATCCTTTTTTTTTTCCAGGTGCCCATTGAAAGGGTTAAGGACAATGTTTGTGCCACAGCTGTGCATGTCTGCATGCGAGGCTATTGCTGGCTTTGCCCTCGATTGCGTATCCCTACAGCAGCGTTGAAGCAGAGAGAAACCTTTTCTTGTAGCGGGGGGCAGCATCTCTACCTGCTTTCCAGGAAACCCAAATCCCCGGTTACCCAGCGTCAACCCTGCAAAGTCCAAAGCAGAACTTCTGGTTGCCCAAAGAAGGACACCCACCTCTTACAAAAGCTGCAGACAGGACTTTTCCCCCCCACCTCCCCAGCTTTGAGCCAGTATTTCAGCAGCGGGGACAGCCCTGTGACCAAGCTGGGAAGGGGGCTAGCGGCAGTGCCAGGGAGCACAGCCAAAACTGCACCCGGAATGCTGCGGAAAAGCTTTTGGTCCGGAGCAAGGGCACTCGTTTGCCCTGCACCAAGGGCTCTGTAAGAGGTCGTGCTTTGCCTTTGCTGGACACGGCCCCGGGACTGCCGGGGCTTCCCAAAGAGGAACAGCTTCTTAGGGAAGACTCTTCCCGAGCGATACAAGTGCAGGACCTGCTCTCTGCACCTGTAGGTTTTGCTTCCCCACCTCATAGATGTTTCTCCTCCTTTTATTTTGTTGCAGTGATGTCTCTCTACCCAATATTATTTTGCAGAATTTTTTTTTTCCTTTCTGAATAGATGCCAGTCTTTTTCTT